CGTCAAGGCAATAACTTGTTGCCTTATTATATAAATATTAGTACGATATATAACGATTATATAAGATGAACATTTGTTGCTTAATTCTCGTTTAATAAAGCGACATTCTATCTCGGGCGAATTTTGAATAAAAAAAACGGATGAAATTGGTTTAATTTGGTTGAAGGAAAGGGCATGCCAAACTTTGTATTTCGCGTGGAGATTTACCGCGGAGCGTTTAGTAAATTTTAGTGTGTTGTAAAGATGGTGTTGCGCCTTGCGGGTTTCTCGTGGCGTGACACAAAAGTGCGCGGCCTAAACCGCAGGTTAATTAGCTAAAACGCTCGAGATCGTTCTCGCCGTTCTCGAGGAGAGCATCACGACCAATCTTTTCTGTCTCCGTCGTATATACACGTCGCTCGCTTTTTCCCAGAGTGCTCTTTTTATTCGCGACCCGTTGCCTGTTCCTCGCTGCTGCAATTTCACTTTGGAGGCACCTCGTGGTGCACCGAGAGGGCAATTAGAAGCGATCGCGCATCTGGAAAGCGAAGAAGAGACGTTCGTCTACCTTTCCTCGTCTCTCCTTTTGTCTCTCTTCTTCCTTTCTTCTTCCCTTTTTTTCCTTTCTCCTCCTTAATAGACACGGGAATAACAGAGGCGTTTCTGCTTTATTTGTCTCTTCAAGTAACTTCAAAAGGATTCTTCCTGTGGAGGTGGAACTGGCGAGAAAATGTCCCTTTGGCATCGCTCCCTTAATCTTTCGCGATACTATATCGGGAGACATAAACATATTTGATGTAGAATTTATTTCGATCAATTCTCGATTGATTATACGTTTTTTATATTTTTCAATATAAAAAATAAAAAAATCGATATAAGATCAATATAAAAAATCGATATCGCGTTTTCACAAATATTTAAAATTGGATGAGAAATTGAAGTGTTCACATTTGCTGTTTAATTTTGCTACGTGTTAAAGTAAATTTTTTACGAAATTATTTTTCGATGAGAGATTCAACTGTTTTTTAATTATATATTATACACGATAAAATAATTTCTCCAGTTGAATTATTTGGATCACTGTGTACAGTGTTAAGAGATAGTTCGCGAGTAAATGTGCCGAAATGATTTCTTTCGGTGAGCGAAAGCAATTTGAGCACGCGATAATTCAGAAATTCGATAATGATCTTCCGAAGAGAAGAATCCTTAGCAGGCGCCATTTGAAGTTTCGTTTAGTTCTTCATCAAAGAAGTTTCAGTCTTAGCGTGCATCTTTTTTTTATCGAATCCTTGTTATTTTGACTGACGAGTCCAGAATTTTGAAGAGATAGAAAAAGAGAAAGGGAAGGACGGCCCAGGCCGGGTGCTCTTTGTCCTGTTTTCGCTCGTTGCATCGCCGCTGTCGTAAATTACGTTTTTGTCCATTGCAACGCAACGCTACAGCAACCGCGGTCGGCCGTTGCGGTGATGCAATGGAGAGGAGAGCTTAATACGACGGCTTCCGCGCAGTGCGATGCGATGCGATGCGATGCGATGCGATGCGATGCAGGTGAAACGCGCTGCCGCGTCGCATCGCGTCGTTCCGCGAGAATGCAGTGCGACGCGTCATCCGGAGACCAACGCCCTTCTGCATCGTTTGTATTTTTGCGAGCATGTGAGGCGATTAACTTATTTACCGCGGCAGCGGCAGCGGTAATTAATTCGCTTGGGAATCGTAGTTTCAGGAGATCGGTCGGGCGCAGATTAATTGCCGCGATTGCGGCCGCGCCGCGATGCACCGGGTTCGCTTTCGCACGTTTTACCTCTTCGCATCGCGCACATCCGGAGTAGTAATCCGCATGAGTTGACAGTTTATCGAGTTTCTTCAATTTTTTTACATTAATTTTTTGGAATTCTAATATTCAGAAGGTATACTTTTTTTTTTTTTTTTTGAAGGAAGATTCCTACATTTAATCACGATTCTTTTTAATCACTGCGTTCCTGTTTCTCCATTAATTTTACGTTTTTTTTTTTCTGACGTACCATATTGTGTTATGATGGCAAATGAAAGTTTAAAAAACAGTTACATTGAAATTTACACTCCCCCTCTTTTCCTTCTCAGATTTGAGATAACATTAAATTCATAACACGTAACGTTTCTTCAAGTATTAAAAAGGGGGAATTAACGCATGGCCCAAAGATCGTTCGAGAGAACAAATTGCAATTGGGACTCGTTAAAAAACTGAACAACGGATCGCACGGTCCGCACCGTGGAAAGGCACTGGTGAAGCCGAGTGTTTGAAAGTTTATAAAATAACTAATAAGGAGGAAAAATTTGCGCGCTACGCCATCAGGTCACAGGCCGGTTGAAGGTGG